AATAATAATATCTACATAAATTTATAAATTTTTTGTTTTTAGTGGTATGACTAATTTGATATTTGGAGTCGGTATAGGATTGTTCCTTATTTTAGTTCTTTGGGCTTTAGCTCTATTGATATTTATTATTTCTTTAAGAATTGAAAAAAAAATTGGTATTATTGCTATATTTATAGTTAGTATATGCACCATCATTTTAATTACATTGCCAAGAGCATCAGGAAAACCTATTATAAGTAATAAAAAGGTAAATAATTTTTATAAAATTTTAATATATTTCTATTAATATTAATATTAATATTTATATATATAAAATAATTATTTCCTCATAGTTTTAGATGTAAAAAATATATTTTATTACAGATATATGATCATTTATTTATTTGGCGCATTTTATTACTCATTTTATTAATAATATCATCTATAATTGGTTTAATGGGATACATTAAATTTGTAATAACAGAATCTATCAGACCAATTCGAATTATTAATTGGGTTTTCTAAAAATTTATCGTAAGTATTATTTTATCATAATTGTTATAGTAATATAAAATAAATGTAAAAATTCATTAATTTTTTTTAATTTCTATATACTTTCAGAATTTATGATAGCAAAAATATGATAAACAAAAATATTTTTTATTAATTACGTAAAATATATATTAGAAAAAAAAGAATGTTTTAATCTTATTTATATTTAATATTTATTATTTATTTCTTTATTTAAATAACAATTTATAACACATAATAATTTAAAAAGTTATAAAATGTTGTGTAATACTATTAAACTTTCAAAAATTTTAGTAAGATATATTTCTTCATCATATCAAAAAAATAAACAATTTGAAATAAATAACAATAATGAATTTGTTAGTAAAGTAATGAATAGTTCTGTACCTGTTATTGTGAATTTTCATGCTGAATGGTGTGATCCTTGTAAAATTCTCACACCTAAATTAATAGAATTAATAGGCCCAATGGATAAATTAAATCTTGCCATTGTAAATTTAGAATCAAATCCAGAATTAGTACATATTTTTGAAGTGAAAGCTGTACCAGCTATTATAGCAATTTCAAGTGGATTGGTTGTAGATAAATTTGTGGGTTTAACTGATTTAGATATTATAGAAAATTTAATACAAAAACTTACTAATATATCTTTAAATTCTGAAAATAATAAAAAAGAAGTTTAATATTCATTATATGTATTATATAAAATCATCATAATAAATAAATAAACATATTTTTATAATTTATATTGTATTATATAATTCTGTTTTATGAATAATAATGTCACATAAATGTTTTTAGATGGTATTTTTAGATATTAATAATCACATATAAATACAAATCATAAAATTAGATGAAGAAATTTTATGAAATAAATTGTATTAAATTCTATTATATAATGTAACTATTATTAAATGAATTTTAAGAATAGATAATGAAATCAAGTTTGCAACTTCAGAGTTTCGATTGAGATTAATATTATAATTCTATTATAAGTAATAAATAGTAGGATAAGAACATGAAGTCATAATTTCAAAAAAGATAACATTTTTATTTATTATTTATAATAATATTTTTTTAATTATTTTACAAATTTTTAGTAATTTATTATAGGTACCAATAATTTTATAACATGATTATAAAATGATTTTTAAATTGATTGTGTATATTACATACAATATTTTATATTAATTAATATGAACAGTTTTTTTTAATCTATAATATTAACTCTACTTATTGAACTATTTCTAGTTTAAAATTAAAATATATTTCAAGGAACTTACTTTGCTTGCATAATTGCTATCGCTAAAATGTCTCTTATTAAAATATAATTAACGAGATTAATTATTGATTCAAGAAAATTTGTTTGAAGCACATTATGCAATAAAGTTAACAATTGTTTATTATCAAATAATGAATGCAAATCTAAGATAAAGCATAATTGATATAAGGATGACAAATAGTTATTTAATCTGACTTCTATTCTTATTTATTTTTGATTTTAAAGCAATTTTATGTATGAAATTACTATTGATTATAGATAGTAGGCCAAAGATTTAATAAAAAATGTAATTCATGTATTCCCTGATAAGAGAGATTTTTTTTTGTCCCTTGGCAGCAAGCGATATATAAATGTGTACCAACAATTAAAAGACTAGTTAAAATTTCTTTATCAGTCAAGTGTTTTCAAGAAACACTATGATAAGGCAATATTGTGATTTTTAGTTGTTTGCAAAATCTGTAATTTTTTGTTATATTTTTTTTTTTTATTTTATTTTGAGTAAAAGAGTATTTTATACTTTTGCAAACAACTTTTTTAATTATTAGTTAATTATTATATAAGTTTTAATGTATAAAATTAGGTAAAAACTTTCAATGAATCTCTTTTTTTAAAAGAAGAAATGATAATAGATTTATTTTTCGATTTTGGATAAATATTGTGGTGTATAAATATTCATTTGTAATAATTTTTATTATGATATTTAATTTGTTTTTATTATTTAATCAATTATTATATAATATATTCCAATGAAAATTATAAATTATTATATTCATTATATAGTTTAAATACACCACTATTATTATCCTTTTATACAATAAAGATATACAAAGAAAATGTTATGGAGTTACATTTAACACTGCTATTAATGCACCGATATGTTCTGTAGAGGCAAATTTATGGCCCCACAAAATTACACATTCAGTAAATACATTTGGACGCTTTAATCTTGCAGAAATGTTATGCATATTTACAACTTACCTATATCAAATAGTTTAAAAAAAATATAACAAAATGTAGAAAAACACGAATGATATATACAAATTTATTTTGATGTTACTTGCTGTTATTAAGCACATAGAAATTTTTAAAAAATAATAATTTTTATTCTTATAATTTAATTTATTTTTAAAGATTCTTATAAATAGTATTGTAATTAAAAAAAAACATATTTTATAACATTATTAAAAATTGCAACAACAATTATCATTTTTTTTTTTTAACTTTACATTATATTACTGATGCATTATATTTTGATTTAGATTTTCATTAGAATATAAATAATGAAAAATTAGTAAAATTTGAATTTTTTTTATATTAATAGAAATAATAAATTAATTATTATTAACAACAAGTAACATCTATTTTCATTCCTAGTAAATCAACTAATTATTATATGATACATAGTATAATACAACATGATACAATTTACTTTGCATTGAATAATTTGGCGACTGATATTAATTTTTTCTTCAATGTGCAAAAAATAATATAATTCTTTCATTATAATTGATAAAATATACATTTTTTTTTTAAAAGTTTTCAAATTCATTTTTCTAAAAATATATATTTTAAAAAAATTTCATCTATTAAAAAAAATCATTGCAATGAAAATATGGAAATGAATTAGAAAAGAAATATTAAGTGAATAATTTTAATAATTAAAAAAATCATAATCATATGAAAAGAAGAGTATTTTATAACTGTAGCTATATGTATATATATATATATATATATA